AAAACTTTCTGGGAACTTGATTTTTTTAAAAATATATTTTATTGATTTTTTACAGAGAGGAAGGGAGAGGGATAGAGAGTTAGAAACATCAATGAGAGAGAAACATCGATCAGTTGCCTCCTGCACACTCCCTACTGGGGATGTGCCCGCAACCAAGGTACATGCCCTTGACCGGAATCGAACCTGGGACCCTTGAGTCCGCAGGCTGATGCTCTACCCACTGAGCCAAACCAGTTAGGGCGGAACTTGATTTTTAATATTCCAAAGCCAGGGTCCAGATGACTACATCCCAGATTTTCAAGTTCAACATCAGTTCTCCACGAAACCTCAGAGTGGACAGCTCACGAACCTGGACTCCCTTCATCAAGTATTCAAGCTTGCATATGTCCAATCCCTTAACGTCCTTAACGTCATCCACTGTCACTTCTTCCCCACATGCAGATTTCTAGCCTGCTAATCATTATTCGCATCTTGTAAGTTAACCTTAACCTACAAACCAGCTCTTTGCTCTATGAGGAAGAGCATTCATTCTTGGTGTATAATAAAATGCAAGTCCCTCCTTCCCCTTGTGATGGATGACCTTTGTGGCGAGTTCAGGCAGGGTCTGGAGACAAAGCCGTGTACAAGACAGATGCACACAGGGCCTCCAGCTTCCTCAAATCATAAATGTCCATCACAAACTCACCCTGCCTGTCAAAGAAAGAAGAATGAAATAACTCAGTTCTGAATTTAGAGGAGAGAGCTAATGAGCCTCAGGACGTCCCAAGACAATTGCCCACACTGATTATGTAAAAATACGTTTTGCATCTGGTATTTGATTTGCCACACAGTTTAACAGAAAAGTAACTTTATCTATTTTTCCAATTAAAGGAAGTAATGTTACAATCAATATTTTCTCCTTCTCTGGTGTGGAATTAATGTCTGTCTATTGTTTTTAAATCACAAAGTGAGCATTACTATAGAAATATAAAATGGCACTATTTCATTTTAATCTATTTAATTTTCCATTCTTGAATTACATAATGGGGTTAAAACATTGAATAGAATTAATAGGATGAGTATTTAATTAAGCAATAATGAGTTTCTAAATGGATGCTCAAGGAAACTGGCTTTATAGTTTATGCAAGAATCAGATAATGGTGTTAACAAAGACTATAATAATTATGTTGAATGTTTTCTATATTTAAAGATTTTTTTTTCTGAATTCTCTCAGGAATAGATTTAAACATAATCTATTTCCTTGATTAGACTCCACTTTGTTTTGAAAGTAAATTCCAAATGCCTTTCCATGGCCCACAAAGCCCTTCGTAACCTGACTCTATCCTCCTCTGGAGTCCAATAGCAAACAGTTCTCCCAGCCTGGCCTGCACTCCAGCCACAACCACCTTCCCTGTTCCACAGACGCATCATGCTCCCTCGCCACTGGCCTTTGCACCTACTGTTCCAGATGCCAGGAATGCACTCTCACTTTCACCTCACTACCTCCTCCTCTTCTTTCAGTTCCCAAGGAGTTCTTCCCTAATGACCCTCCCCAGTCTGGATCAGATACCACCCCTCTCACCATCTGCCCAATGTACAGGCTCTCCAGGAACTGTTATTTCATTCTTAGCACCTAACACATTTTTATAATTATACTTATACCATGTCTGTTTTTTTACTAGTGTATCCCAGGACATAATACTATATCATGCCTGACATGCAAAAGCCATCACCAAATGCTGGAAGATGGGTGGATGGATGGATAGATAGATAGATAGATAGATAGATAGATAGATAGATAGATAGATAAAAGTTGGATAGAAGATGGAGGGAGGGTGGAAGGGAGGATGGATGGATGGATGGATGGATGGATGGATGGATGGATGGATGGATGATGGATGGCTGGATGGTGAGTGGGTAGATGGATTGCAGGTAAATGTGTCTACATTTCTATGTTACTACATCTAAGGGCATGTTAGGGCCACAATCATACTTTGAGAATTCCTAGAACAATACCATCTCCTCATTCCACTTGGGATTCATTTGCTCACACACTAAAAAGGTATTCAGTGCCAGCCAGCTTTAGTAGGTTCTGTAGACATGAAATAAAAAGGTTCTTGGTGAAGCTGCATAGGCTTGTCTTACTTAGACATGGCCTAAATGTTAATTTTACAGATTCATTCATCTATCCATCCGTCATATTTTCATATGTCTAGTATTGTGCTATGTACTAGAAATCAGGACTGAATGAATTATCCACTGTACCATTAGGTACAGTGCCTAAGGTTCTAAAATCAATTTAAAAAAGAATGTTTAGGGTCAAAGAAAATTTTAATTGTTTCCTTATAGCAGAAAAAAAATTAAATTTTTAAAGCCCATGAAAACATATTATGAGGGGCCAATGAATGTAAAAGTGCCTAAGGTCCACCAAAGTCATAATGCAACCCTGTGAGGTGTCCTGGAGAACAAGAGAGATCAGTCCATTCCCTACCTTTCTAGAGCATTCAGGGAAGGGGCAGAATCAAGCATCCATCAATGAGTCAGTCCCTCTTAGTGTCACTCCTGCATAGCTCTATCCCTTCACATTTCCTCTTAGCCCTCGCCTCTGATGCCAGGTTCCACTTCCTACATTTAAGACCAGCCATTCATTCATTCATTCAGCAAATACCTACTGAGTCCCTTCTGTGTACCTAGCATCTTGTGTGGGGCTGGAGACAAAGCCCTGTACAAGGCAGATGCACACAGAGCCTCCAGTTTCCTCAAATTATGATCTGTTCTTATAGTGTCTTCATCTCAGCAACATGACATTCAGCTGCTTTGACAAAGCAACATCTCACCTAGGTATTGGATGTAACAGCATTTCCACCTGACTGATGGTTTCCAGCATCCTCCAGTCTTAGCACTCACCATGCCAGTAATTGTCCACCTGCTGTTCTAAGGTAAAGGTGTCAGAAGAGGCACAAGGACAGGTTGGTAGCTGACGTCTGCTGTGATCAGTAGGGACAGAGAGCTAGCTCTCTGGGTCTGGACCACAGCAGAGGCGAAGGACTGGCATAAGCAATGTGGGCATGAGTGGGCATGAGTAATAGAACTTGTTAAAATCAGAGACTGCTGAAATCCAGGTACCTTGGATCTGATCTTTGGGTCACTGAACAGCTTTGGATAAACCACTTCCTTCCTTCCCTCTCTGTACCTATATCTTCATCTGCAACCTGAAAGGAATAGATAGCACATGTGCCACCATGTCCCCCTCCTGAACACATGGCAGACAGCAGTACAGCCGTCCTTCCCTGCTGTGCTCAGATGCACTGGGGGCCCCTCAACACTGAGCTCAGGTAGCCTCACCAATACACAAGCCTGGCTCTTTCATTGACAACTTGCCATCCTTGAACTTGAACTCAATCATGCTTCTCACCCCGAGCTTCGTATTAGAATTATGCGAGCGGGTTAAGAAAATGCTAAGCCCAGGCCTTACCCAAGACCAACTGAATTGGAATAGGACCATAGGACCCAGGTTTTGGGAGGGTTTTCATTTGCTTTTTTTAAACGTGTTTTTTAAAAGCCCCTGAAGAGATTCTAATGTGCAGACAGAGCTGAGAACCAGTGGTCTAGATTTCCAGCTCGGGAATTCTATGAGGAGGAGGGAAAGACACAAGATAGGACTTAGTTAAACAAGAATCAGAGGAATTGGGTCAAAATAATTGTCTCCTGGAGCTGTGTCTCATATTTTCATGTGTCTAGTACTGTGCTGTGCGCTAGCATCCTCCATGGCCCTCCTCACTCCGCGGCTTTCCATCCTGCGCGCATGTTCCAAGCATTCCCCAGCTCCCCTTTCACGGAAGGGAAACAACTCACCCAGGTTTGCTGAGGTGTGATAGACAAATTAGTTCCCATCCGCTCCCCACCCCCCAAGGCATCAAGATTAAGGCTTATGATTAATGATTTGC